GTCCATAATCATTGTTGCTTTCCTTAACACACTTACTATGATTCATTTTAGTCTGAAGCCATTTGTATTTATATTACTGTACACTGTACACAGCGCTCGAAGTGAAGCAGGATGAGGCGAGATGCCATCCCATTTCTTTTCAGGAGGGCCCAAATCTGTTCCTGTATCTTTTAGTAGACTGTAAGTTTCTTAGAAGGGAATATTTACGGCAGCAAGGGACTGCAGAGAGAAACTGCTTTTTCCTTAAAATATCGTGTAAAAGTAAGGCAGGAACGAGAAGAAGTAATGCAGGAATAAAGCAAATGAACCCTCTAGTCACGGGCTCAGTCCATATGACCGAGTTGGGAACCACAAAGTAACCACCAGAGTTTCCATACTATTACTCGTAACACAGTATGCATTTGTTTATACTTAAGTTTATTGTTTTATTGCCCTTTGAACCTGTCTAACTAGTTATCCCGCCACACAAGTTAAAATCACTCTGCGAACAGAACAGAGAACGTAAAGCTCACTTTATCACATCGAATTACATAACGCACGAGCTGCTCGCGAGTATATCTCATGAAGAATTGGTATTGCCAAGCACATAAGCAGGGTGCGGGTTATAGAGGTTCATCCGACCCCCTATATTTGTGACTTAAAAATATTGCTACTAACTTCATGTTCATGTAAACATTCTGTATCTTCTCTCCGCCTGTTGAATAATTACCTGAGGTGTATACAAATAAAACATGCTTTAGCTTAAAAACATAATTTTTATGATACTGCTATCAACACTGAAACTGTATATAAGTTATTTATGGAAAAGCCCCCAGAAGAATGGAGCATGCTAACATGTTATTTCAATTGTACATCCATGTATGTATATGATAACCAATGACTGAAATAGCTAATATATTTATTGTTGTACAGAGTTGTTTAAATTAGTAATATAATTTAACAATTAATAACTACTCTGTATGTATATAGTACTGTACCTTACTGTAATAAAACATAAATATTTATGCTAATTTAACTCTAGTTCCCCATGCAGTGTTACAACAGAATTATGTTGAGTCGTTTAACCTATATTTCATGCAAAATAGCTTGCAGATTTAATCTATAGCACCTAGTTTTACAAATTTTGTGGGGGTCATGTCCCCGATCTCCAGTAACATTGGCATGCTTTGCATGCTGATTGTGCTTGGCACGATATGTGTTGGTTTTTGATCTCACAAATGTTCTGTGTATGGGTCTGATTATTATTATTATTTTGTATTACCTTACCTAATCTGACCTAATAAGTTTTTAATTTTTTACATTTTAGTTACTTTTATAATAATAAATAAAAATACACATGAAAAACAAGAAATATAGTACTCAGTTTTAAGCATTTCTCAAACCATCCCTCTTTTTCCCCCACTTTAACACTGACTGTACACAAGCATCGGCTATGATGTTTTGATCTTTTATTTTGAATTCAACAATTACCATTATGGAAAATAAAAAGACAAACATAACAGAACACTAGATTTCAAAATACTCCTAATAATATGCACCAACATAAATATTCATGTAGACTAGTAGCAAAAATATTAAAAAGTAATTGCAAAATGAAAATATTAGGTCGTCAAGACGTGATTGTCGCGTTTTTTGAGGGGTGGTTAATGAAAGTGTTCCAAAACGGTACATCACATATAATAGTTAAACGAACCGTCCAAACGTCACGTTAGTGTAGACTATATAATGTGTAAAGTTTAGTATACTCTAATCCCTTATAGTGATGGCACACGACCAGACACATTCGGCATGTAATGCTGTTTGAATACAAGAAGGGAAACAACGCCTCTGTAGCCACAAAGAATATCAAAGTTTATGGAAATGTTTGAAACATTCGTAAATGTTAACGATGGTTCAGCAAATTTCGTTCAGATGACTTTAGCCTCAAAAACTGTGATGAGGGGCCGAAATGTTGGAATTGAGATTGATGCTCTGAAGACGCTTGTTGCGTCTAACCCAAGGCGATACACTCGTGAAATGGTTCTGAAATTACATGTCTCTCA